TGTGTCTGGCCTGTGGGGGGCAGTCTGACGGGCGTGTGTCTGGCCTGTGGGGGGCAGTCTGACGGGCGTGTGTCTGGCCTGTGGGGGGCAGTCTGACGGGCGTGTGTCTGGCCTGTGGGCCAATTCAGGAAGTTCAGGAACCTCTTCCTGCTCTGTCCATCCAGGAGCAGTGAGAGCCGGATGGATCTGGGCTCCCTGGCCCTGGTGATCAGCCCCAACCTGATGCAGTGCCCGATATCGGGGTCCAGGCTGGCCGTGGGCACCGAGGCCGTGCTGGAGCGCCAGGCTGCGGTGGTGCGGGCACTTATCACACACGCCGAGCACATCGGTGAGTGAGATAGGGAAGGAGGGAGTGTGAGGGAGGAGGAGAGAGAGATTGCACTGGTTGTCCTGTGGTTAGTCAGTCCGTCATGAGAGCGTTTCTTGATGCGGGCGGCTCAGAGGGGCTATTTGTAATTCTGCCCCTCGTGAGCACGGGGTGTAGATGTGTTCATGCCTCCAGTACCGATTCCAGGAGGCAAAGTTTGGACATATCATCAGTATGTTTAAGAGATGATAATGGTAAAACAGTCCAAATTTATTGTTAAGTTAATGAAGCATTACTGAGAGCGTAACTGAGAGCTTCCACAGGTAAGTGGGGCTTCCAGGACCACGACTGGGTCCCTTCCCAAAGGAAGCCACAGTTTCGGAAAACAGCTCTTTAAATGCGGGAAGGAGAGGTGTCTCGGGAGAGTGAGGGGGTGACTGACCATTTTGATTGGTCCGTCTTTAGGTGTCATCCCCACATTCATGCTGGAGAAGAAGCAGGGCTTGTTGCTGGGGGCGGAGCCTGGCTGTGTTACACCCCCTGGCGACGCCCTGGAGACGGGGGCGGGGCCGAGAGTGCCCGGCTCGGTGAAGCACCACAGACGCAGTGTGGGCGGTGAGGTGGTGGGGGGGGGTGGTCACAGGGGGTGGAGGTGGTTAGGGCCCACCTCCAGGGAGAGAACTGTGGCAGATGGACAGAAAGATATGGGGAATCTGTAGGTATTTTCTGGTAGATGAGATGCGGGTGGACATGAATGCATTAGAGAATAGGAACGTAGCCAAGGGGGCACTCTGTGAAAGGGAAGATGGTGTAGTTTGGCTTAGCAGTAGGGCAGGATTCTCTAGCTCTATACCTTTTGTATTCTTTCTGCCTCTCCCTCTCCAACTCTTACCATCTTCTCTTTTTCTCACTCCTCTCAGATTGAAATTTAAAGTTGCTTTATTAGGAGAAACAATTCCATCACCTTTCAGCAGTCCATCATGCATCAGTCTTTTCTTGTCTCCCTCCTTCAGAACGGTTTGTGGGGGCATTCAACAAGCTGATGACGTCTCGCACTCCAACTGGCACCCCCGTCCCTTTCGACGGGAGGGCAGCAGAGGGGACCCCAGGTATGGTTGCAGTTTTCATCG